CCCCAAAACCCCAAAACCCCCTAAAATAGAAATCCAACGAAATAAGAGAAATGTAATCAATTATTATTTTTTAAATTTCTATAATTAGAAATATCAATTATTCTTGAACTGAGAGTTATATTTGCTTTTAACAGAATCATATTCTTTTATCAATGACATATCAATATTACTCTCCATATGTTTAATCTCATCACTAATAATCTTTTCGACAAATAAATCGTCTTCGTTTTAAATTGAAAACTATGATGAGTTTCTCAAATTATGTCTTTTTGGAGTTGAATCATTCTAATCATTAACTCTAAATTAAGAATTTAAGGCTTAGTCATAACTGGTTTGCTCCATCAGATCTTAAACTTCTGTTTTATTTTGAGTATTGCTATCATCCCTGTACTTTAGATCAATATTACTACTGTTTAAATTACTATACTTTTTTGCTTAGAAGTCTTATTTAGTGTCTTCAAAATATCTTCATTAAGCTATATATCCTAAGATGACAAATGATTCTTTTAATGATTTAAGTCTATATTCTTGATGAGCCTCAAATCTGTTTTATAATTTTTAGATTCTATCACAGCTTAAGCCAAATATTACTTCACCTATTTTCTCAGTAATTTAGACATTGATGGCCATTCAGATACCTCTTCTTTTTTATTCCCCATTTACAGCTTTTAATCAATCTTTTTAATGTCACTTAAATCTACTTTACTTCTTACTAGACTAGATCTAAAAAAAGGAGTAAGCTTTCTTTAATACTTTGATAGAATAATCTTGTTAAGAAGGCTTGCCGTCTTCATTGTTTCAAATATTCTCTCTATTTCTAATCTCTTGTCTATCTTTTTTCTTGCAATCTAAAACAGTCTCTTCCTATGTTCAATTTTCTTAGTCCTAGCTGTTTTTATGCATAAACATAAAGCTCGAAATAACTCTCCTAATGTGAACTTAAATTTAACTCTTTGCTTTATAGAATTAAGAAGGGATTAATACCTATTTCCATTTTCTTTGGTTTTTAAATGAGATCTTTTTTGGGGGTTTTGATTTTACTTTTATTCTAAACTTGGGAATAATTTCAAGTTAGTTTGACTTTTATCGCTTTTTCCTACTTTCTTCTTGTCATTTTACTTTTCTACAAAGAACATATCATGTACTATAGACTGATAGAACATAGAGACTTGAAACCAGCATAATAGGTAGTTTAGAATGATAGATATTATTCCCAGAAAACCTCCTGTTGTTGATAGAGCATCTGCAACTGTGTACACTACTCTTGTAGTTGTCAAAGTAACAAGAATATGCCCATATTTTCTTGTCTGTTAACTAAAGAGGCTGTGAAAGAAGAATCTTATCGTATACTGTAATAAGTAAGATTCTATTAATCAAGCTAATTTGATAATGAACTATCACTTAATATGACGTAATTTTAACTGATTTTGAATATTTAGTTACTGGAGAACATTGAATTACTAGTCATGTATAAACTTTTTATCAAAGTCTTAATCGGATTAGATGACTTGTCATTGACATCCACGAATTGATTCATTAATCCAACATTAATAGATAATCTATCAAACACTGAGTTAATTTCAGCTTCGGTACCACATGTTATATTTTTCTTCTAAGCAACTTCTAAAGACATTGTTTGAATCCCAGTAAAATATATGTAGATTTCTTGGATAGAAATGATCCACTAAACTTAAAATCTATAGTTTGATGACATAGATAGCTCTCTGTTAACTTTATGTTGTCAGTCTAAATAGTTTCATTGTTAAATCTTCCATTAGGGCATCTAATTAGTGGAATTTCTCTATAATTTTACTTATAAGATTTCCCATCAGGTGCCCATTCAAAGCCTATCTCTGAAAAAGTAAACTCTAGGAATTTGCTTAAATCCTAAGGTGCATAAGCTCCATCTAGTTGAATTTAGAATGCAAGATCAAACTTTTGATTTGTCATTTCATAGACAGTAAAATCTTCTGCAATGTTTCTAATATACGTGGAATTAGAAATAGTACTTTTCTTCTGCATTGCATTTATCAATTCAGTTACTAGGTAAACTAAGACTGCAATTCTGAAGATTAAAGTAACGATTCCTCCAAGAAAGGACTTGAAAGTACTACTATTCTTATAGGTAAATGATATCTGATGACCAAAAATGTCTTAAGATTTGATATAATTCTTGAATTTTATCCTAAAATTATTCTATGCTTTGCTTTATGCTTAAGTCATTCTGAGAGGCGATTAGGATTACAATATATTAATAAATCAAATATTAAATATAAAATTTACTCTTATTCTACTTAAATGTTTCTTTAAGGGGTTTTGGGGTTTTGGGGTTTTGGGG